AAGACACTCAATGATACACAATCGCCAAAAAAGTTATCTTTCCACATTGGCGCAAAATTGCTTTTTGGCGGTGTTGTATGAACTCCCTACTTTTCCAGTTTTGACAAAAATACATTAATCCATGAGTTTCCCTGAATGTTTGGTCAATTTTCGAATTCCCGACATTTCGGTTCCCCGGTTTCCGGTAGCGTGGCAACGTATTATGATTTAAGTATTTTATACATTTAGCATAATATTGTACAGTCAAGCGTTAATCCGGACTCATCGGACTTCGCGATTCCGGATTATATCACAGTTAAATCTGGTAAGTGGCATGCAGAAATACAAATTAAAAATATGAAACCGCAAGTTTGAATAAAGAACATTATGATCTAAGGGTATCAAAATTTAAAAAGAAAAGCTTAATTTATTTGTTACTTATAACATTCTTCAATGTGTTTTTTTTTATTGATAATACTTCTCTTAATTCTTAAACAGTATAATTTCTGTTTAGTTACAAAGTTCCGGTCAAGTCATTAATTGCTTTTTTGAGAATACCGACTAATTTGTCAACGAAATGGTTCGTTTCAATAACCTCTGGTCACTTTCTTCAATGGAAGCGATATAATGACGAGGCTCTTATTAAATCAATCAAGACGGAGTACATCTAGATGAAATACTACACTAGTAATGACTTAAGCCAATAAAATAAAACATCTGCCTGAGATAGGTGGTGAAGATCAACTTCCAATCTGCAGCGTGAAATTGAAAACAGATTTGATTTGAAACTACTTCGCTTTGTAGATAAAATTACATATTGTAAATACATATCGGAAATTTATTGAACATAAACGAAAGTTCAAGCTATGCTTGAAATTGCTTAACGTCTGCAAAAATAATAGCGGATCCCAATCAAAGATTATGGACAAGCAATCGAACATTTTACCGTCATAACATAAACATGCATGCGCAAAACATATCGCAGGTAAAGTGCTTACGGCACTCGTAAGCCTGTAATAGCATTAATACATACATAAAAATGAAATAAAATTTGAAAATAATGCAATTTAGAAGATAGTGTATTAAAATAATTAAAAATTTGTTGTGATCTCTTTTCTTACGTTATATGCATTTATTTTAGTTTTGCAATATGCACTTATTTTATTTTATTATGGTATATGCATTTACTAGCTTTTGTTCTCAAATTTTGTCCGATTATTTGAATATGGCAAAGGAAACGACATCGTCTGTCTAAAGGATAGACTAGTCACCGTGGTGGGCTTTCTAAATAAAACTCATTCATATCCATGTCACACATGGTAAAACTATGAAACCATGCAGACAATTTGTTCGTTTTGGTTTCAGTGCAAGTGGAACTAGTAGTAATCAGCGGTTTTAGCCAGGAAGGCCACTGGTTGGGAGTCTGATAGATTTAAAAACCTGATAATATCTTATTTAATAAGCATAATACTAATAAACGAAACCAAGCTTTATAAAACAAAAATAAAATGCTTATAACTGGACGTAACTAAATCTCGATATAACACAGAATAACACTGATAAAGGGAGAGTGTTATAACACTGAATTTATATACCGAATGGAATATACATTGATTCTATATATAGAAAAATTTAGCAAATTTCTTTGGGAGTGTCTAGCGGCGAAATCCTTACTATATATATCATTATTTTAAATTCACCGCATACCTTGTGTTTCGACTCTTACCTCAAAATACATATAGCTCACAAATAACTTTATTTTTTATTTAAATTTAATAACTTTATAACCTATACAATTTGTAAGGATTTTTAGTTATAGGACACCACACACAAAGAATTTCTCTAAGAACAAATGCGTAGTAAGAACATGCATTGACAGCAGCTTTTTTATTATATGGAAATTTTTCTGAACATGAATTTTGGCTTAAATCATTTTCTTCACTAACCCAAACACCCAATAGCATGACACTTTTAAACGTTTATTCACATCCTGAAAACAGAAACTGCTAAAAGCAAAGACAAAAAAAGGAACCCGCATATTTTACTAACGGGGAGCCAACTTTGACGCATAAAATTTTAAACATCAACATATTTTAAGGCCTGTTATGAGTAGTAATCGTTTTGTTTTATTTAATGTTGCAAAGCATCAGGGTTATTTATTTTGATTTGGCTTTGGTTGATTTTATGACAAAGCCTCGAGGGCGATTCGCCTAAAGCGGAGGGATGGCCTTCGTTGGAGGACTTTTCTAATGGACAATGGCTCGAACACGTTTTACACTATGGAAAAACGTCCCATGCAGCCAGCCCGTTTGGGGATTACGGGGACGGATGCCTTCGTGGAGGGCTTGTTTAAGGGAAAACCGGCTTGTGTACAAGTGGGCAAATGAGAGAAACACGGACCGCATTCAATGGCCGAAATCCTTTCGCAGGGATTGAACCACGGAACCAGAAACGAGCAGTTGGTCCGCTGTGGGGTAGCTGATAACGGAAAAAGAGCCAAAATCTCATACATGGACGCAAAAATGATGGCCGGTATAATACGAAAATGAGTGCCATTTAAATAGCATTACAGGACTTTCGTGGCCATTGTTACTTTAGTTATTTAGGCTCATGATTAAAAAATTACACAAGGGGACTATTAAATAATTTATAGTTTTGACCGGTTATTGAACCCCTGTGACTGGCTCACCAATGGGGGCGTTTTCGGTGAACTTTACCTATATGTAACACGGGTACAAGATAGTGTCCTTCGACAGGTCTTTCACGGACACATACTTCTTGTGACAAGGTCCGCCCTTGGCGTGTTTTACTCATAATTAACCAAACCAAAAAAACTAAACCTAATCCCAAAGCGGGGATAGCACTCAGAGGGAGATCTTGTTTGGAAGGGGGACTTTTAAATGAGATTGGTTATTAGGCCGCAAAAAAATCCACGAAAAAAACGGCAGGTAGCCAGCCCATTTTACGGGATTTTTTAATAACTCTTTTCAAAACTGCCAATTTTTGACTTTGGCGCTGTGGGCTTTTCTTAATCTTTATCCAAACATCTGTGCAAAAGTAATCGAGAACACCACAGTTATGGTTTTTTAATTTGATTTGGGTTTATGTGTTTATTGACAAAGCCTCGAGGCTAATCTGCCTAAGCGGAGGGATGCCTTCATGGAGGGAACTTACTTAATGGACACTGGCTCGTATGCACGTTACACTTGGCGAAATACCATGAAAACGCTCTATGCAGCCAGGGCCGTTTGCGGGGATTGGAACCGTCAGACCGAAACTACAGCGAATTACTGATTGGCGCTTAGTGGGCCAAAATTATGAGTACAAAAGGGATTAAATTAAGTTACGAACATCTATAAACTTTCAGTGTGTCAGTGCGGCTAGCAGTATTGGACATTTGGAGAGTTTTTTTTTTCTAACGGGGAAATTTTTAATGGCAATTAATTAATTTTGTTAGGAATTGATACTCTGACCAAATTTTTGTGCCACAGTATACAACCCCTTCATTTACACTGTTTTACTTTAACTTACAATCCGGTAATTTTATTACCGGTAAATTTCTTTCCAAAAAATGCGTTTATTCCCCCTAGATTTTAAAACTATTTTGTATTTCTAAATCTTAATAATAATTAAAAATTTAAAAAACAAAACAAATATTCGAGAACATTTTAAGCAAATGTATTTATTCGATTTAATTGAAGTTTTCGAGTAGGGATATCATCCTTTCGGACATCAAGAAATTTATACGGTCAGTTTGAATGTGAACGCAACACCAGCCCACAATATTCGAATACAAAAAATTCAGGATAATTGAAGCCACATTTTTAACATTTCAAAATGGGTAAAAAAGGAAAATATACCACTTAGACACCACCGGCACTTGAAATACGAGAACAAACAAAATAGGTGATTGCAATTTTCTTCTTTTATCCGGTTCTTGATGTTGTAAGTGAAACTTTTAAACATTGTATAATAGATCGTTATTTAAAAGACGGGTCTGGACATTAAATTGGTACTTTTCCTGTTTTTCTTCTAAAATTTCTTAGGGGTAATGTAGTCAGAGAAACAACGGTAGAGATTCGTTGGAAACATTGTCCCTTCTTTTCTTGCCTTTCTTTACTACTATATTCTGTTTAACTTTTCATTTGTATAAATAAACCACAAGGCACAACTGTTTGTAAAACGATTTATTTCTTTCATCACAAGCTTGCAGTCATTGGAAACGATAATTCACACTTGCTGTCTGACAAGTGATCTTCATTCTCAGGAAACCACTCCGTAAAGTGTTCTTTCGGACTTCACCACTCCCTATTAAAGAAACATTTGTGTCAAATGGACAGCCGCATGCAGAAAGGAGGGGAGGAAGACCAGATTCGCGTCGGTTAAAAAGGTCTTAAGCACTCTTTGCCAAATTTGGGGGCTTCGTGTATACACGTCTTAAGCATTTTTTGTGCGATTTGAAATTCGTGTAAAGGCGTCTTAAGCATTTTTAAAGGAAACTCCAACGTCTTAAGCAGTTAAAGGGTTAATGATTGTATTTAACCTCAATTTTAGTACAACTTTAATTTCCAATAGTTATGACAAATGTGCAAAATTTTTTATCTTTGTATAGTATAAATCACAACAACGCTTATGAAAATGCAAGATAAATTGTCAAATATAATGCTCAAAATATAAATGAAATAATTTGTTTAAAAATTATTCCACTTATATTTTGAACATCATATTTAAACTAACAATTTTTATTTGCATTTTTATAATAAAACAAGTTCTTATTTTTCATGAATGCATCTGAATCGTCACATTACGATATAATTTAAAAAAAAAAATAAATAAATAAAGCTACCATTATTGGCACAAACCTAAATATTTTTGATCAACTGATTATCTTAGTTGCCTATTTAATATCCTGATAATTGAAATACATCTTTTAATCTACCTGTATACCTGTATGTAAATAGATACATACATACTACTTTCTTAAAGTTAACAGTATATTACAGTGAATATAAAAATATTACCTAATTTTTTTGGCAGCTTTATCACCAGAAGACTTTTTGTCCTTGTCAGGTTTTAAATTTGAACTTTTCTGTTTTGGTTGAGATTGCGTATATTGTTGGGCAACTTGCTGAGCAACAAGTTGTGGATTAATCCGGGGTTTCCTATAAATCAAATAAATGCTGATATAGTATTTTACATCAAATAATAATTATGACATGATATTTAACTAATGAAATATAAACACTGCTTAACAAAATTAGAGGAGCAGGTGATTTAGCAAGAACAGATACCCCATGCAACACAATATAAAAAAAGAGAGGAAGAAATGAATCAAAAGATGGAAATTCCTGATTTACTGTAAACAAAAGTGAGGCCAAAAATTTTTATTTATAACTTTTGAAAGAAAAAAAGCACTGACGAACTTCCTCAACTCTCACTGATGAGGTAGTCAAAATTCTTAGGGAGTTCTTCCCTATTCTTGAAGAAAAGCTTTTTACAAATGAAAGCTTTTTACAAAGAACTTCAATAGAGGTTGTGGTCTAACAGCAATGCATAAGCCTAATATATAACCTGTTAAATTGAGTTCAAATCTGGATAGCACAATGTTCACTTCATATTCCGTATTGTTTCTTTAAGTTCACAAAGTGCACTCGATGAGGTAGAACATTGTCATCCATAGAAAAGGCTGAATCATTGATAGCAGCAATATAAGACATGAGCAAGTTATTTACAAACTTCATCCTTGTACCAATAAGAAATTACTCTAAATGACATACAGGTCAATATCCCTGTCACAGCAAGCATATCATCTCTAATAAGATGCAATTTTTCTCAGATAAGTGCTTAATAGCATTGAGTGCCAGGTTCTCTCTGGATCAGTAGCCAATAATTATCTAGCTCCAGGCTGAACCTGAATTCGCAGATAATAGAAATTTGACTTTACTCAGCAGGTCCCCAATCCCACTACTTTTCAACTTAGTTTCAAGCCCTATAACGGTAGAAGTTTTTTGGGCCAAAACAACTGTCTTATACTCACACATTCCATATGTGTGAAAAAGGTGCCTGCAAGTTGTTTGTGCTGATAACCTTAACCATTACATTTTCATGCAAATTTTAAACATTTATTTAGACTTAAAAATTTAACTCTTTCTGCAAAGTTTAAATTTCAGGTTTTTCATACTGGTTAAAATTGTATATCATTTCTGTAGCATTAAATATTTTTTAATCATCACTTTCAAAAAAATTTTAACAATTTGGATATTTTCGATAACATATACAGCAAAACAAAACAAAAATTACAAGAACTTTGACAGTATGTACCTTTTCTATTAACTTCAACATTTACATGGTGTTGTCTAGCCACCCAGATGATAATGGTTAGAGGAGCCTGACTGTGATACTGAAGGACCCAGGTTCGAATCCTGGCGAAGGCATGGAGGTAAAATTGTCTGTCCCTTCATAGGTGGTAATGGTGGCCGCCTATTAGGTTCCTCCACAATAAAATGACCACCACTTCTGGCCTTAGAAGTGGCCAATGCCGCTATAGGCAAGTGCCCACCACTGGGGGGGAGGACAGTGTTTTCTCAGTTTAGAAGAGTGAATTTTTGTAAATTTAAGAAAATGAATTCATAAAAGTCTATGGGGAAAAGTTTTAGATTTAACAAAAGATGAGACGGGGATTTGATAAAACTAAAAGACTAAAAATACCTATGAAATAACAAAATATTGAGAAGTTTTATAACTTTAAAATAAAAATGTAATACAAGTAATTCTTGTTAAAACTTCAAAGACACTAGCAGTTTAGTCAATAATCACTACATTTTCCTTTTTTTTTTTTTTTTTTAAATAAATTCATGCCTCTGAACATTTACAAGAACCACGGTTACAAGCAGTAAGGAACTTTCTCAAAGACTGAAGAATAAGGCCCGAGAAACTTTGTCTTTTTAAGGAATTTACAGGTGTTTGAACTATAAGTTCAAAAGGTTAACATCTGTTTCAAAGGATGAAGGAAAGTCATTATCTGAGATCACAGCTCATGAAATGACCCTGACCAAAGCATCTTCAACCATTTCCTTAACTTGACACCAACTCCATAAATATGCTACTAACCTTAGACTCGCTCTACGAATGGATACTATTTGAACTGAATCACCTTCCAAAATTCTGGTTCACAATACGTATTGTCTAGCAAATTAAGTTGGTTAAACATACTTACATGAGACAGACACAACAAACTGCTTCTTCCACAAGTGGGCTAAGGATATAGGTCTGAAGGAATCACCTACTTTATGTGATATTTGTATAAACATAAATTTTTTCATGACTTTAGATAAACAGCATTTTAAATTGCTTTCCGAAGCTGTCTTTTCAACATTTGGAGGGATCTTTACGCAATTTCATAATATTTTAATCGACTACTTTAACCCTCTCTGATTATGATTGCGAAATTCATAAAAACATAGAAGTTGATTTGAATGAAATCATAAATCGATGGAAAAACAGCAACAGGACTCATTTGAAATGGCAACATTGTGCCACTCCTGTACCCAATTTTGTCGCATGGCATACCAGAGTGACCATCTCTCTATGTTGCATTGTCAAGGGAAGCCAAAGTAACGGTCACCCTGCAAATAGTCCACGCAAACGGCGATGCACCTTATGAGCTGATACTGGGAATGCTTCAAAGATACCCATTTCCTGACTAATGGTCCATGATGTGGTCGTACGGTTTTACAGGGCTGACCTCACAATACGTTTGTCCTCTCAGGCATTGGTCATGGGAGAGATGCCATTCAATATGACCATCAGCAATCCACTGATTCCATATTCGCATGACAGTGGTTGGATGTCGACCAGTGTGACCGGCGATATCACAGAACGATAATATCTACACTTTTGATAGGCAATGATACTGCCTCTATTGTATTTCAGAACTTGCTGGTAAGTTTCCTATTCTTATTTGAGACATAATACGATATTCTGAGCAAACTCCAACCTTACAAAGCACTTTCCAAATGAGAAATTCACTACACAACTTTTTTTTTTTAAATGCTGTGCTTTAGATATTGTTTCTTCCTCCTGAGTCATATTAATGCACTGAAATACTAATCATTTGCTTTTCCAAAGTTCTTCTTCCTTTCATGTGATTTTGATGTTCATCAGATCATTCCTTCCTGGTGTATTGCAATTTTAATGTGTTTTTCTTGTCCAGTGATGAGCTTTTTGGAAGTTGGATGGGACTTTACTTTTGACTCTAAATTTTTACAGTACATCACTATTGTTCACAATATTCCCAATGTGAAATCACGCCTAAACTCCATCAAGTATTGCATTATTTGCCCTGCCCACAATATTATTTGACACACTGATATTTTTCAATTTGATAAACTCTTCATACAATTACACCTAATTCAGTTTCAAATTATTTCTTTATTGCATATCCTCACAGAATACATTACTTTTGTTACATATACATCTGAATATGATGACATGCTACATTATTCTTATACATGTAATATTTTCTATATTGTTAGTATTATTTGAGGCCTATACACTTAACAGATCCAACTGACCTTGTATTATTCTCTTTAACTCAGGAGTTTCATACTTCTGATATCAAAGTTAGGTTTTTGCTATACAGTATGTTCAACAGTACATGTTCACCTGGGCATTTTACTGTTTTACTGAATCATATAGCTGTACAGCCTATCGTTTTATTCAGCACATAGTGGATATATACATTATTTTTGTTATTTTTACATAAATTCATTTTGCTGCAAATTTACATTTCTATTTTTCTGGAGCACATGTGCATTTCTTTTTGGCCATAGAATGCGTAAATCTGTTACTAGTTATCAGTTACAGATTCTAAGCACTATAGTTCTCTGCAAAAACGTTCTTTGCACATTGCTGATTTGCAATTTTCTGATTGATTCCTTGCAATTTGCTCATTATTGTACCTTATCCTGCATTATTCTGATCAGAGTTTGAGCCCATAACGATTCAGTTTTTGCATAATTTTTTTAGTTTTGGTATGATGATTATTAGACATCTAACAGATAGACTTTTAAGTGAAGTTCTTTTGTCTCCAGGCATCTGAATCACATAAAGGTTTGCATCAATCAATTCTCCATGTGAGCAGAAAAGCAAAATGAACTGTATCATGATAGTAAAGCGTCCAGTTTGCTTGAGGGAAGCTTGCAGATTTAAAAGTCCCCATTTGGCTGCATTTAACACTCACCATATTGAGGGTAGGAGAAGAAAAATATCCCAAATAAACAATGGATACAAATCAATATTTAGGTAAGATAAAAAATAGTCTTGCAGAATGAAAAATGTCAGTAAGGTAAGATATTTATCTGATTACATAACGTAAAATGCATATGTGAAAGATAAGGTAGTAAAGAGATTTTAGAAACATATTCTGTCATGGATTTTATTCTATGGCCTATTTGCATAAAAATTTAATTATTTTAAATCATAAGGCATAATAATCTTATATAACAATTTTCAATTTTGTATGGATCCAAATTAATTTAAATACCAATTTCTAGAACACAAATGGCCCAGATGACTTGTTGCTCTATCTTAATATCTAAACAGAATACCAGGAAACAAACACAGGTGAAAATTTAAACTAAACCTTTTGTTTGCTAATTACCCTGATAATTATACAAACTCAGTAATAATAAAAAAATCGATCTCCAAAACTCAATTCAGAAACAAATGCTAAAGTAAAATTTAAATAAGTGCAAGTTTGGGCTCAAGTCCCCAAATTTTTATGAGCTTTTCCAGATAGCAGAACTGAAGTTAATTTCAGCTGCAGGTAGTAGTAATGGCGTGGTAAACTAAACACGTGATAAACTATACAGGACAAAATCTTTCTCTTGGACTCAATGAACAACAGGTTATTGGCTTTTTGCTGAAATACTGAATGACTAACAGAACCCCTAATGTCTCTCTTTTGGTAGCTGCATATCCTTTTTGCATATCTCAAAAACTATATTTGCTTCCACTGACAAACTAAATATTTTCTTTTTAAAATTTAACAAGAACTTTGCAATTTTTACAATACTCTAAATGACAATGCCTATTTCTTCACCATTACATGATGGCCAGGAATTTTTAATTGAAATTATTTTTTGGTCTCCATCTAAATCCCTCAATAGGATACTTTGTAACCTAAATAACAAGATTCTTTAGCTGCAGATTTACATTTGGACACATTTACTTTTAAACCCGCTTCTTGTAATGACATAAAAGCTTCTCACACATCCTCACTGTGCTCATCAGTTGTCCTCAGGCCTGATGCCTACCTGAAAATAACCAGAATTTGAATCAAGCATAATGATATACATGTTGACTTAATTTCTGACTAGATTCTGGATAGGAAATAAACTGGAACCATTCTCTAACCATTCCCAAATCTGGGAAATTCCAATTCCCAAATATCTCTAACCAAAATCAATTTCACGCTGCTCTGCGAGCGGAAAGGAGGGGGGGGGGCGTCACGGCACGCAATGAGCTGGAAGTTGATTTGTCAGCACTATCCTTATCTTCAGGACAGATGTTTTTATTTTATTTGGCTTATAATTCCTTACTAAATGTAGTATTTCATCTGATTACTCCGTCTTTGATATGATTAAACAAATTTCCCGTCATTATAAATCACGAATACAAATAATAGTTTTCTGGTTGCAATTTTCTAATTTCGACTAACGCACGCGGTGAAAGAAATGTTAATAAAGTAAACAAATAAATATTAAATTTTTTTGTAATTTTGACCCTTTAGATCATAATTGCTCTTTATTTCATAAATTACGGTTTTATATTTTTAATTTTATAATTTCTGCATGCCATCTTACCAGATTTAAACTGATGATCTATAATCTAGAAAAATCGATAATTTGGAATCGCCGAAGTCTCGACGAGTCCGGATTAAAGACATTTGACTGTATTACTTAATTACCTAATTTTGTTGTTTTGTAATTACAATACAAAAATATTGGTAGCAGTACTTCCTGAAGCATTTTCACAATTACGGTACTTTTGGTATGACTACAACTAATTTTTTTTTACTGTGGCAGAATCCCAAAACATCATCTTTTTAACAACAAGTTGTTTAGAATGGTTCAAAATTGAAATTGGAAAGATGTATTCAGTTAAAAATCAAACAAAACAGCATTTAGCTTGTATAATCAATGCTTCATTACCTTTTATGAAGAAATTAAATATTTCTTTTGATTTTATCATACTGAGAAAAATATGCTATTTATAGATATCATTTCTACTCTGCGCAAATGAATAGTCTATTGCAGACAATGAAATGTGCATGATTTACAGAAATTTTATAGATATTTTAATGCTCTGAAATTCTGAAGAATGAGTCTTTAAATTTCTATTCTGAAGAAGCATATCACAAATTAAAAGAGATTCTAATTCAATCACAGTAAAAATATCCTACGTTTTCTTGCCACAATCAAAATGAATGGAATCAAATTACCTGTAGGGTAAACAAGTCCTCTGCTGCAGGGTGCTTGATTAGAAAGATTAACAGTTAAGAGTTTACAGATCTATGACTTGCTCCTCTTCCAATCAACACGATTTTCAACTTGGGATGTAGTACATGATGTCATGATCATTTAGTCAGTTGGTAAATTGGTCCTATTTTGCATACCACTTACCTTCCTCCATTTCTGTAAAATCTATTGTTTTCCCCGGATTTTTGCAGCTCTTAGTTTTTAAAAAATTTCCATAGAAACTAGAGAATCTGCAGTAGTTGGATTCTATGCATCTAATCAAAAATCAAATTTCAGTAAAACACCTTTGAGTATAGTTAGTCCACTGAAAAGTGCCAAACTAACGAATGGTAATAATGTAGTTAATGAATGATAAATACAACAGGCAGAAAATTAATACACGGAAAAAATGGAAGTGATGAAACAAAAATATTCATGAAATAACACAAAATGCAAATATAAACAAACATTTTTTACGAGATGTATAGTGTTTACATGAGTATTAATACAAAAGAATAAACAAATACTTCCTCCCATGTGTCCTCACACAACATCCTTTTAGATATTTTTGGGCAGAAAAAAACACACACTTCTTCATAGAAATTTAAATTCAAATATTTATTCTCACCTTGTAGACGTTCCTTTACGTACATCACACATCAAGCACTTGAAAGCTTCAGCTGAATTTCTGTATGTACAAACACTACAATCCCAGTAATTTTCTTCAGCACCTTTAGAAGATCTTTTTGTTCTTCTGCTATAAGTTTAAAATCATACATTAGTTTTAATTAAAAATTCAGAAAGGTAACATACACATGGTATTTACATTCTGCAATTACATTCTTGCACTGATAGTGTCTGACTCATAATGCTTCAATTCTCACCTTCTGAGAGCTAACAATATATGAATACATGCATTATTTATGGATGAAAGTTCTGCCAGTGATAAACCTAATACTTTTCCTTGCAAATTCCTGCATATTAATGCTAAGTTACCACACATTCGATCCTTTTTTTTTTAAACTTTAATACTTCAATAAATTAAATAAGATATTCAATACTTTAATTATAAACATGGACTTTAAGTGATTTTACTTGACTGTATGCAAATATAAGCCTTTTGAATATATTTGAAGCAGGTTAGAATATAGATTTTATTTAGCATATGAGGTAGGCTAGACTTCATTACATTAAGCCTGTTAATTTTTTTTTTTAACAAGATACTTTCATTATATGATGAGTTTATCTCCATCATCCCTGAAGTCAGGTAGCATTTATATATTTAAGTTTCTAAGGTTTAATTATGAATTTTTTAAAAAATTTTATTACATGTTTCATAATTTTTGTTTATTACATTTTTTAATTTATTAAATTATATACTGATGCGTTTAGCTTTTCAATACTGATCTTAAATCAAATTAAAGCAATTAATTTAAAACAAATATTTAAACACATGAAAAAAGGTCATGTTTGCATGTTAGCATTTGAGACAGAACTTCAGAAATGGTTCTGTATGCTTATGTACTAAAAACCTTATGAGATCACAAATTATCAATGCAATGAAAAGACAGATTAATGGAATTTTATTATCCCCCTTCGTAAATGCCTCATCAAATGCAATAACAATGTTATGAATTTAATTATGCAAAACTCGATAATGACATCACTTTAAAATAATATTAGATGTTACTGTTATTATAATTAAATTATTACTGTAATCTTGTTCAAGTCTATATCAAAATGCTAAAGCACAGTCTGAATAATGGATCAGACAATTAAATTGTAGCTTATGTATGACACAGTGCTCACCTCATTTTATTTTGATAATACTACTATACAGTCAAAAGTCGTTAATTCGGACCTCAAAGCTACAAACTTTCTACGCATGCTCGTTATTATAACGGACGTATAGCAAGCTACATTCTATTCATTAATGTGCAAGGCGCTGTTATATTGGATCCGGCTTTTTTTTTTTTGCAGACTGTTGGAGCAATTTTATAAAAGCAAGCTTGAACTTTCGATTATGTCAAAAAGAATTTCCGATTCTGGAGCTATCAAAGGATCTAAAGCGAAAGCTGTCCGATGTCCATCAAAACAAAAAGTGGAATGCTGCAAAAAATGGATAAAGGCATTCCTTTGTTTATCTAAACTTTGTTATCTTTAACGCCGTGGCGCGCAATGAATGGAAGTGATCTGTCAGACTATCCTTATCTTCAGCGAGATTTTTTATTTTATTTGGCTTATATTCCTTACTAAATGTAGTATTTCATCTACAATGTACTCCGTCTTTGAATCATTAAATCCAAATTCCTCGTAATTAATTCGCTTCCGATAGCGAAGAAAGTGACAGAGGTTATTGAAAACAAAAAAATTTCGATGACAAATTAGTCGGTCTTCTCGACACAGCAATTATAGGACTTGAACAGCAGAACTTTGTAACTGAACAAGAAATTATGTCTGTTTATAGAATTAAAAGAATGATTATCAATAAAAAACAAAACACTTACATGAAAGAAATGTTTAATAAAGTAAACAAATAAATATTAAGCTCTCTCTCTCTCTCTCTTTTTTTTTTTTTTTTTTTTTTTTGTACATTTTGATACTTTAGATCATAACTGTTCTTTTTCATAATTACAGTTTCATATTTTTAATTTTAATTTCTAATGCCCATCTACAGATTTAAAACTGATGATCTATAATCCGAATCGCTGAAGTCCCGATGAGTCCGGATTAACGACTTTTGACTTTACTGTTTTTTAAATTAAATTTTCACAGGGAACAAAAAGAAAAGAAAAGCTGGCAAGACCATCTCTCATTTACTTTATTTCTTACATTACAGACATATTTAACATCTTCAAACAATAATTAAATATTTTACAAATATTTTTTCCCCTTTTTTATAACAGATATATATTAAAAAATGGGGAAAAAAATAGAAAACTCTTAAAAATAAGAGCAAATAAACTGCTACTGGATAAAGTGGTAACAAATAAAAATGAATCTGTAACTAATAAAGATATAATACAGCTTAAGTATTATATCTTTACTAGATCACAGCATTAAAATGTAAGGTAAAAATATCAATTTACATAAAGTACTTTAAAATACCCCTGCCTTTTACTCTAAAAAATTTCCAATTAAACCAAGATTTAAATTTATTACGCTCAAATGAAAATTACTGTAATTTCGTGCAGATAAGGCATGGCTACGGCCTATCTATATTTTTACTATGTCTTTAGAGCATAATTTAAAGCATAGTTTATGCACGAGCAAAACGGTTACTGTAGGATTCACTGTAACATTTTAGCTATATAAATGAGAAAGATGTACAACCAACATTTGACTTTAACAGGAGATGCACATATTGAATTATTATAATATTTATAAATTTTATCATCCTACTTTGTTTCTTAAAATATTATGTTCAAAATAACTTCAATACTTCATTTTTAAAAGCACAAGAATTAAATAGTATAATGCACACAAAAATAAAAAATAAATTTTATATAATAAGTTATTTTTATCCCTTTATCAGTTTTCCTCAGGCATTCTGGAAATATATCTGCTCTAATATACCCTTTTATCAAGTTTTTTAAAGCACTTTTTTATTTATTTATTTATTTATTTTTTGTGTATAATATTGTGTAACATTCTTGTGAATAGAAGTATTGTCTTCTATTTTATCAGTATTTGCTCAAAATTTAACAGTGATTTTGATTACGATACTGAACATTTTTAGAAGCTAGGTATTTTCAAAGTAAGAAATGAAAGAAATGACATTTCATCAAATCTGAAAATATTTTTAGCTCGTATCATATATTTCTTTGGCTAAATTCTTGAATTTTGAATATATTCAGCTGAGATATTTTTGTATTCTCCATTTACAACATGATGTAACATTCGATACTAACATCACAATTTATGCAACCCTTCAGTGAGAAAACAGTCACCCTTCACATTCACCTGCAATGTTATTTCACCAAGTCTCTTTGCATTAGCATAGGCTCATTAATTAGAATACTTGAAATTTTTGAAGCAAATTCACAAACTGTAGGTCTTTCCTGCATTTCCTTCTTTCAGAAATACAGTTAAACCTCATATCCCAAACAAATTATTTAAGCAAAAGAGGCCCTGGATGACAAATGTCATCTCAGGTTACAAACACTCAAGCCAGCAACATATCATTTTCAAAAGTATTTTGAAATAACCAATACCACATACACTCAAGAACTTCTGACAGGGTTGCTACTCTCACAGAAGAATGGAATTCCCTGACTTTTCCAGGTGCGTTTTAAGAAAATTCCAGTTTATTAGCACAGTGCACTTTGGCTGTGCTGAGAGGTAAATTAATTATGGTACCACTTGAAAGCACAAAAATTAGCCAATTAAACATGACTATGTATATATATACATATGTAAGATAAAAATATATGAATCAAAATTATAGTTTAAACTAAACATTAATTCTTCTTCTTTATTCTAGAATCGTAATAACTTCTCTGCATTCATCTTCTAGATCTCTCTATGGCAGCTTGATGATGTAATGGGGAACTGAAACTGCCATTGTAAACAAAACTTTCTCTTCGCCGTGCTTCCATTTCATAACACGCACTTCGCTTGCTCTCTACGATGGTAAAATGTTATTTCACTGGTTTGCTTTCTATCTCAACATATCAAAATGTAAATCTTCAGTGGAAAGGCATGACTAGAGGCCAAGTGATTGTGGCCACAAATATCAGTTGAAAATAAAAATGAAATTAAAACTACCCCGACTGCCAAGTTCTTTAGATTACCAAGTAGCATTACTAGCATACTACGCAATCAAATCTTCTTCAATATGGGTTAATCACGCATCTGCAGTGTTCCGTCTTTCCTTTTGCTTATTTGCCCAATTAAAGCCGGTAGGATAGTTTCCTGTAGCCTGAAACCTCAATGGAAATTTAGGTCACCTCAAATATCGTTTTGTGATAAATCCAAAATTAATGTGAAAGAAGTGAATCATCAAATTTGTTTTTTCAGTGTTTAAAAATGACAGATCATCTTCTGTGGGTGTTTTGCAAGTGCTTCTACAGATTGAAAGTAATCTCTGATAAATTGAGAAATTCAAAATGCCTAGTTAAGGAATAGTGAATTTGCTTCGCCGATCTCTACAAATTAGAAAAAAAAAAAAAAAAGTTTAAATCTTTAGAATTACGTTTAGGAATTCAGATTCAAGGTCGATCTGAGTAGTGTTGCAAGTATGAGACAGAAAATTATTTGCACTTCCGCTTTTTCAACAGCTCAAAATTATTACATTCGTGTGAATCTAGCTCAGGAAAATTATTTAATGTGCTGCGGATTCTATAGTTTTCATTTCAACTTTGGTTAAAATGTCTGCAATTGTTTTGAGAAAATCTGAAATTCTTGTTATTAATTTTTATTTTTCATAATTAGTGTGAGCAAATTAATTTTTTAAGGCTATTTAAATTTCATAGGGAAGGATATTAAGGTTTTTATGTTTTGAAATTTTGTTGAGAATTTTGAATACGATTTTATAATTATTCTAAAAATGAAGTAGGTGTAACACTAAGTGAAATTATTACAGACACGTAATATGAAATTATGGTAAATGCATGTTAAATTTATGGTGATTGTATGTTAAGTATAGTGTATGTTGAGGGAGTACTGGGTTCCTAAGCAGAGGCCTGTAATTACCTCTGTACAGTTGTTCCCTTCACTCTCTTCAAGATAATTTTGGAGACTCTCATTTTATGAGTGTGTGTATTATTTTAATATTATTATTATTATTATATTTGTTTATTGTGGAATGTATTAGTGCAGTTCTCAAAGGCCAGTTACCTTATGCAAGGAACGGAGGAGGCCTTTTCAAGTAACTGTCCAGGCACCCTGAGCCACCAGTGCATAGAACACACTGGTTAGTTCAAGAGGACAGCCCTATTGATGGATATGGTTTGTTTAGAAGTATTGCGAGGCCTTCCAGTTGGTCAAATACAGGAATTGTAA